TAAGAATTGCGAAAGGCTGGGGCACCTGGGTGGCTCAGTCGGTTGAGCGTCCGACTTCAGCTCAGGTCATGATCTCACAGTTCGTGGGTTTGAGCTCCGCGTCGGGCTCTGTGCTGACAGCCAGCTCAGAGCCTGGAGCCTGTTTCAGATTCTGTGTCTCCCTCTCTGACCCTCCCCTGCTCACGCTGTCTCTCTCAGAAATAAATAAAACATTTAAAAAAAAAAAAAAAAAGGAAAGAATTGCGAAAGGCTTTTTTTCTGTAATTGGTCTTTTCAAAGAATCAGCTTTTGGTTTTTAGATATCTACTACTTTTACTACTTCTCATTTTCTTAATTTCTGCTTTCATTGATGATTTCTTCTCTCTTTGGTTTTATTTTTCCTTTCCTAGCCCCTTCGTTTAAATGCTTAGTTAATTTTCAGTCTCTTGTTTTTGGAAGTGCATTTAAAGTTATAATTTTCGGGGCGCCTGAGTGGCTTAGTTGGTTAAGTGTCCTACTTTCGCTTAGGTCATGATCTCGCGGTTCGTGGGTTCGGGCCCCGCGTCGGGCTCTGTGCTGACGGCTAGCTCAGAGCCTGGAGCCTGTTTCAGTCTGTGACTCCCTCTCTCTCTGACCCTCCCCTGCTCACGCTGTCTCTCTCTCCTAGAAATAAATAAAAATATAAAAAAAAAATAAAGTTATAATTTTCCTCTGAGTACCACTTTGGCCTCAAACCAGAGGTTTTCTTGTTGTCCATTGTCATTCAGTTCTAAATTGTTTGTAATTTCTACTTTGCTTTTCTCTTTAACTAGAGCATTTTTGAGCAGTAGAGCTCTTTAAACTTTGAAGTGAACAGTTTGTATATATATATATATATATATATTTATGTTGCTGTTAGTTACTGATCTTTTTGCATATAAGCAAAAAGATAGCCCATATGACATCTACTTTCTGGAATTTGTTGAAATTTTTATTGATGGCTTAATATATGGCCAATTGTTGTGACAATTTCCTGTATGTTTGAACATGCTTATTTACTGTTTGAGTGTAAAATTTGTCCTCTCAGATTACGTTTTTAAATTTGGCATTATTGAGATCATTACTTTTGGGAGGCCACTTGATCTGTCTCTAAGAGAGGCCTGTTCAGTTCTTTTTTTTTCCAAATATATTTAAATTCTAGTTAGTTAACATAGAGTGTCATATTGGCTTCAAGAGTAGAATTTAGTGATTCCTCACTTACCTGCAACACCCATTGCTCATCCCAACAAGTGTCCTCCTTAATGCCCATCACCCATTTAGCCCATTCCCTCTCCCCCAGCCACATCCCCTCCAGCAACCCTCAATTTGTTCTCTGTATTTAAGAGTCTCTTGTGGTTTGCCTCTCTCTCGGTTTTTCTTATTTTTCCTTCCCTTCCCCTATTAGGTTCATCTGTTGAGTTTCTCAAATTTCACATATGAGTGAAATCATATGGTATTTGTCTTTCTCTGACTGATTTATTTCAGTTAGCATAGTACACTCTAGCTCCATCCACGTCATTGGAAATGGCAAGATTTCATTTTTTTTTAGGTTAATATTCCATCACACACACACACACCATATCTTCTTTATCCATTCATCAGTTGAAGGACATTTGGGCTCTTTCCATACTTGGCTATTGTTGATAATGCTGCTATAAACATCGGGGTGCATGTACCCCTTTGAATCTGTATTTTTGTATCTTTTGAGTAAATACTTAGTGGTGCAATTTCTAGGCCTTAGGTTAGTTCTATTTTTTTAAGTTTATTTATTTATTTTGAGAGAGAGAGCGAGAGGGAGGGAGAATGCATGGGAGAGGGGCAGAGAGAGAGGGAGAGAGAGAGAATCCCAAACAGGCTCCACACTGTCAGCAAGAAGCCCAGTGCGGGGCTCTATCTCACAAACCATGAGATCATGACCTGAGCCAAAATCAAGAGTAGGATGCTTAACCAAACAAGACACCCAGATGTCCCTATAGTTCTATTTTTAACTTTTTGAGGAACCTCCATACTGTTTTCCAGAGCAGCTGCACCAGTTTGCATTCTCACCAACAGTGCAAGAGGGTTCCCGTTTCTCTGCATCCTAGCAAATACTTGTTGTTTCTTGTGGTGTTAATCTTAGCCATTTTGACAGGTGTGAGGTGGTATCTCAGTGTGGTTTTGATTTGTATTTCCCTGATGATAAGTGATGTTGAGCATCTTTTCATGTGCCCATTGAGACCTGTTCAGTTCTTTCACAATGATTATAGGGTTTGTCAATACCTACTGTATTTAAAAATCAGGTTTCTATACATATATATATCTTAGGCAACATTCTTATATGCTTGTGATTCATGACTTTGGCACTTCTTGATGCTTGTACTTTTTCCCATTATAAATACCCTGCTTCGTCCTGTCCAATGCGTCGTCCTTGAATTCTCTTTTGTGGATGCATGTGGCTGGCATTTCCTTTTTTATCCCTTTGTTTTTCATTCTTCCTGTGTCATTTTGGTTTATATGTGTCTTTTGCAGCAGCAGACAAGTGGATTTTGTATTGGGTGTCTGCTTTAATAGGTGGGTTTAACCCATTTGCATTTACTTTTGTTAGGCATAGTTAGAATTATGTCTGCCATCTTCTTTCACGTCTCTTTTTTTAGCTTTCATATTTTTGCCTTCGTTTATTCTTGCCTTTTGTTGGATTGGTCCCATTTGTCCTGTTGGTTTTTTTCTTCTGGTGATTAAGAACTTCTGAGTTTTATTTCTAGCAGTTATTCTATGTACAGACATATGTTTGTGTGTGTGTATAATTATATTTTTTTGTTAACATCTGGATGTATTTATTATCTTTAGTCTATTCCCAAATGAGGCAAGACATTTAGTAGTAACTTACTTTTCCCCAGCCCCACCCCTCACTGATGGATCATCATAGATTTTAGTTCTAAACTATCATTCATTTACTTAAAATCCTGTAACGATATTTATTTAAACTGAACTCTTATGTTTTGCTGTATTCCTTGCTTATAATTGTTTCAATTCTTTCATAGATCTATTTTTCACTTTGCTGAAGTATTTCCTCCAATAATTCTTTTAGAAAGAATGGGTAATATTACTTCTATGGCAGTCAGGGGGGAAATGACCATTTTTCCTTTCCAGAAGGTCCATTTCGATTTTCAGCTCCCTATTAAATTGGGTTTTTAAAATTCTGAATGATCATCTTTTCACTTATCCTAGCTCTCTAGTTTTTGTTTGGGATAATACACACCTCCAAAATCTGTAAATACATTAATTACATACCACCGGAATGTCAGGCCTTCCCATCCCTTCAGCCAAACCTGTAACATTTTCATCTGTTTTGCTAATGGGATTTATTTAGTGTCCTCAATCCCTACCCAAAGTGACACCAACTCCCACCAATTGCCTCTAGCTGGCACACACAGTGTGTACTCCTCTCCACCAGGTATTTTATTACCCACTCATTTGTTTGCCAGTGTCCCTACTAGATTATGAGTCCCAGGAGAGCAAGGATCTTGCCTCATTGGCACTGCACCTGTAGTGTCTGCAACACTACCTGGCACAGCGTAGGCTCTCAGATGTTTCTTTAATGAATGAATGAACAAAATCGAATAGACTTCACGTTCATTTACTCATTCAGCTACTATTTGGGTTCTGTGTGCGCCAGGTTCCGAATGGGCCAGGCCCCTGCCTCTGGGAGCTGACAGAGCAGCTGGGACCTAGGAAATGAGTAGCAAGAACACTATGCCATGAAAGGTCTCTTCAGGAGTGGCGAGAGGCCTGCAGGCTCAGGCAGCAGAATGCAGTGAGTCCTGTCAGCTGGCCAAGGCAGGGTGAGCAAGAGAGGAGGGATGGCCCAGGATACCACCCCAGATGAGAACAAGCTCGCAGCAGGCACACCTACAGAGCTTTGTGGCAAGCACTGCTCCAAGGGTCTAAGTGTTATAACTTAAAGCTACTCTTAGGATCCCCATTTGAGGAAATGAAGGCTCAGAGAAGTGAGCTTGCCCAGGATCACACTAGGAATGACGAATCAGCCCAGAATCTGGCTCCAAAATCTCTACCTGTTACACTGCCTCCAGGGAGAGGGAAACTGTGTCTTTCTGAGAGTAGAGCAGAGAAAGCTAGGAAATGGGCAATGCTGGATGGTGAGCAGGGCTTGGGATGCTGAGGGGGTCAGGCCTATGCATCTCAAAGGAGATCCCCCAGCTGTGGCTGTCACCCTCTGAAACAGCCTAGGGACAAGCATGTAACTCAGCAGGAAGGAAGCTGAAGGGGAGTAGGCTTGAGAAATCCATGGGGTGGAGGGAAGGAGAGGGGATAGATGAGTTGGGGACAGGGCCTCCGCTGAGATGGTACCCCGCTCCTTCTCCCCAGCCATTCTTGCTGCCTTCCCCAGCTCCCCTTCCCATCACCCTTGTGACAGCCCCATCCTAGGGGCGAGTGATCCTGGCTCTCAGAGGCCTCTCTTTCCCCACGGCCTGCCTGCTGTCTGTCTGCACCAGAACTGAGGATCCTTCCTGACCTGGGCTGGCCTCTTCAGGGCTTTCCCAACGCATGTCCTGGGCTCTCCTCCCAAGGAGCTACAAGGTGGAAGCATTGTCTCCATTCTACCCAAGAGGAAGGGGGGGCTCAGAGAGCCAGGTAACTTCCCCAGAATCAGTGTGTAAGGGCTGCAGCGGGATCCAAGCCCCTGTGTGGGGACCCCAGAGGGATTTTGTAGCAGCGTTGATCATGGACACTGTGAGGTTTTTCTGTAGACAGTTAAGGCCCAGAGAGCACAGTCGGTTCGACTCAGCAGGTTCACAAATGAGTCTCTTAGAGCCTCATACTTCGAGGTGTCTGAGGCCCTGCTGGGTCCCTTATACCTCAGCCCATGGAGCTCATGCAGCCTCTCATGGGGACAGCTTGTCTGGAGCCAGTCTGGGGACGGCAGCAGCAGCATGGGGGTCCACAGGCCCAGGGGGCTCCACTGTGAGTGTTGACAGCCCCTGAGTGGCCTCATCCCACTCCAGTTCTGGACACGGCCGGGCAGGAGGAGTTCAGCGCCATGCGGGAGCAGTACATGCGCACAGGGGATGGCTTCCTCATCGTCTACTCGGTCACAGACAAGGCCAGCTTCGAGCACGTGGACCGCTTCCACCAGCTCATCCTGCGCGTCAAGGACAGGTAAGGGCAGCTGGGCCAGGACCTCCTAGCACCTGGCTCAGAGCAGGCTCTGTCTGTCTGTCTGTCTGTCTCAGTCTCTCTCTCCTGAGGCACAGAAGGGCAGAGGTGAATTCAGACACTGGTCGATCAGGCTTCTACCCCAGTTCTTTCCTTGGGGCCAAACTACTTCCAAGGCCTTAAGTTAGCCCCCTTTCATCTTTCCTAAACTGTCCACTGATATCCCCAATTTAACCAAATTTTGTTATGTTCAAAGAAAAAGTGAATTTTCTCTCCAATACGCATTGTAACTGGTTAAATCACATTTGACTCTGGGATTTACAAGCACCTAATTAAAAGCTCGTTTTTTTCCTTAGCATTATATGGAGTAATTAAGTAATTGGTAGTCTCTTTTAAGCCTAACTGGTCTTTTCAGCTAATTGGCTCTTAAAGAGGCAATGCAAAGAGAGTAAGAGGACAAATTAATAGGAAAGCAGTAAGCTTTGAACAAATCTTAGTAAATTCAGAAAAGTCTAGTTCACACCAATTCCAAAGGCAAAGTATTAATAACTTTACCAGGAAAGGGATACACATTCACACACACTCACATATACACATAAAGCTCTGGGATGTAAATGTGGGTTAAGCCCCTGACTATAGGAATTTCAAGAGAAAACATAAATGACTCTGATATGGGAAAATATTCAACATTTTGGCTAACCCAAGAACTGCAAGGAAAATAATAATGTAGTATTTCTTACCTGTGAAATTCTGAATTTTTAAAAATGAAAATGCCCAATGATGTTAAAGATGCTGTAAGACCGACATTTCTTTCATCTTTGGACAGCAATATGGCCAAGTATGCCAGTGAGAATCTTTAAGGCAGACATGCCGTGTGATCCCACTCTTCCTCTCCTGGGAGCCATCCTGATTTTGCAGCTGCCATTTATTGAGTGCCAGCTGTGTACCAGACGTTGGCCCTGGTGCTCTTCCCAAGCCACTGCTGACGGCCACAGCTGCCCTGTGTGGCTGGTGCGCCAGGATGACAAGGAGATGGGCGGGAGCAGGTCTGGGAAGCTAGCCCCCCCACGCACCCTCCCCCACCACCTAGCAGTCTATCAGAGCCCTCACTGATAGTGTTGAGCTCCTCAACCTGCAGCAAGCACAAGCCTCCAAACCAGCAGTCCTGAGGCCCCCTTCCGCTGCCTGGGGACGTGGAGAGACAGGACTCCTGAGTGAGCCCCAGGGCACCCAGGGAGGCAGCGTGGGCCGCACTCTGCCTGAGATGCGACCGTGTTCCCTTCTTCACCAGGCATGGGGGATGGGGGGCAGTGAAACCTCACGAGCCACTGTTCCTTTATTTCCTAGAGAGTCATTTCCTATGATCCTCGTGGCCAACAAGGTCGATCTGATGCATTTGAGGAAAATCACCAGGGAGCAAGGAAAAGAAATGGCGACCAAACACAATGTAGGTTGTGTGTGTGTGTGTGTGTGTGTGTGTGTGTGCGCGCTCGCGTGTGCGCGTGCATGTGCGTGTTGGACGGTCAGGGACGTATAAGAGTCTGTGCCCATCACTCCTACGTACCCCGGGCCTCCTGGGTAGCAGGTTAGATTCCACAGAGAGGACATACGTGATGAGGGATATGTTGTGGAACAAAACAGATAGAGAAAGCACCCTCTTATCAGTCAGAAGAGGCTCTGATGTGGGGACCAAGGGGCTTTGCAGTGGCCTGTGAGCTGTGGCCCCCAACACAGCAGATTCATCTCTGGGCTGTTCAGGGGTTGGCGTCTGTCCTGTTCTCTGAGCCAGCCGCCTGATTATGCTTAGAATCATCAGACCAGCTGCAGTTCATTGAACCCTGTTCTGTGACAGGCATTATGCCAGGGGAGGGGGGTATTTAGGCCTCACAAGCACACGCTGAGGTAGGTATCATTGTGCCCATCTTACGGTTGGTCAGACTGAGGTTTGCCCAGGCCACACCATGAATATCAGCAGACATCTTTGTTTTCTTTTTCTCAGTTCATTGTGATGCCCCTTTGCCCTCTGGATGTGCTGGGTGGGGTCCCCGGGCTTCTTCCACCCCTCCCCCGCACAGGCACAGCGCAGGCCCCGGCCTCCTTGGTCAGTTATGTAGAGGTCCACTCTGCCTGCTGGGTGGTCTGCTACAAGGTTGCCCCTTCCCTCTGCCTGGTGGGCCCAGCTGTGTGAGTAGAGGAAGGGGGCTCACTGCAAGTTACTTCTGCTCCTCTGTGCCTCCTGTGTTCATTCACATGTTCATTTAACTGCCCCAAGCCCTGGGAAACAAAACCCCTTGCTTTATGGTGCTTATGTTTAGTGACAGGAAACAGATAATAAACAAAACAAATTACAGTGTGTTGGAAGGTGACATGTGCTATGGAAAAAAGTAAATCAGGGAAGGGGGTCAGGAATGTGAGGTGGAGAAGGATGCTTTTCCAAATAGGGTAGTCAGGGAAAGCCTTGCTAGGGAGGGTGCATACAGGAGGTGAGAGAGTAAACACCGCACATCTCTGGGGAAAGAATGTTCCAGCTGAGGGAATTATCAGTGAAAAGACCCTGAGACAGGAGTTTGAGGATCAGCAAGGCCAGCTGGAGCAGGAGTGGGAGGGGTGGATAGTAGGAGGTCAGAGAAGGGGGATAAGGCCTTATGGGCTTTTACTTCGAGGGAGACAGAAACCGCTGGAGGGCTTGGAGTGAGGAGTGAGGAGGTCTGGCTGGACTGCTTCTCTCTGGCGGCCATGTTGAGAAGGGTCAGTAGGGACCAGGTTGTGGGAGCAGGAGAATGAATTAGAGGCTGCCACAATAATGCAGGTGCAGGTTCACATGGCCCAGGGGGGTGCTCTTGGAAGTGGCAAGGAGGTGGTTGGCTTCTGGACATGTTTCAGAGAGAGCCAACAGGGTTGGTGCTCAGATCGGATATGGGGTGAGAGGGAAAGAAGGGAATGGCAGGTGACTCCATGGTTTGGGCATGAGCAACTTTCAGACACAGGAGTGAGAGTAGTTGGACAGAGGAGACGGTAGGATTAAGTGTGTGCAAGACAGGAGCTTGCTTGCGAATCTGTGTCGTCTGAGGAGCTGAGTGGATATCAGATGGAAATGCTAAGACAGCAGTCAGATAGAGCATCTGGGGTAAATATTGGCCATCAGCAGCATGTAGATGGCATTTGAAGCCATGAACGCCAAGGGGGCAGGTGTAGGTAGGGCAAGGGCCCCAGAATGAAGGACCGAGGTTGGGACACTTCAACTAGTGATGTGGGGAAACGAGGAGGAAGCCACAAAAGGGCCTGAGTGGTCAGTGACATATGAGGGCTGGAGTGAGACATCATGGGAGTGAAGTGAAGAAGATGCCTCAAGGAGGCAGGAGTGATCAGCCGGGACAGAGCTGTCCCAAAGTCTCCAGAGGAGAGCTGGTTCAGCAGCAGAACCAGTTGGTTCAGTTCCAACTGGTTGGGAACAGAGACAGGCCTGAGGAGCTGCTCCGTTTCACAGCCTCCTTAGGGCTTTCCCCACACCTTGTGTGCGTCCCTCTGGTGCAGAGGGGAGGGTGCTGTGCAGGCAGCAGGAGCTCCGTTCTGCAGATAAGCAATGACTACAGGGAAGGGGGGTGGCTGGGCCACGGGCAGGACTCTGCACCCTGGGGACCCCTAGGCCTCTGTGCCTCCCCGCCCCCAGCAAGCTTGCCGGGCTCACCTCTCAACTGTCTGCATCTATGAGTCCGGGAGGTCGGCTGTGTTTACAGAAGGCTTGTGCCTGCACATTTAATATGGAGTGATCATCGCCCGCTTGAAAGGCAGTCACACATGGGGAGATGTGGCCGAGGTGGCCCCACAGGACAGGTGTTGAGGGCCATGCCTACACCCAGCCTCGGGTGGGTACAGGGAGGGGGAAGAAGGTTCCATGTGGTCAGGACACAGTCCTGAGCACACCTCTTCTCCTGTAATGGAGACCCCACAATGGCAGGAAGCATTGTGCCCACTCCGCTGTGAACGGAGAGGGCGCAGGGTTTGCACAAAATATACAGGCTCTCCCAGGCCAGAGAGGTAAGCCACTTGTGACCAGCCCGAAGAACTGTGGTAAATCTCATCACTTTTTCTGGTTACAAAACTAAGTCATTTCATTGTAATGCTTTCAAAACAGAAAAGCCCAGTGAAGAAAATAAAAATGATCAGCAGTTCAGATGCCTGGATAGGGGAGTGACAGAGTAAGCTGTTACTTCACAAGAGTGTGTTGTAAACGACTGCCCAGAACATACCCTAACCTACCTCCACACACTGCTGTGGCTGCAGACAGAAGTCTCGTAGCTGACCCAGACCCCCAGGTCAGGGCACAGGACGACACATGGCTCGCTCAGGCTTTAGAAAGAGTCCTCCAACAACTCTCTGAACCTCTGACAACACCGAAAGAAAACTGCCCTCCGCTGTAGGTCGTCTGGTTGAGATGACGGTGGGCTGTTTTACCCCCCAGGTCTCAACACTCCTGACCTCACTTACTCCCCACTTTAAGCGTCTGAGGTGAGCAAGTATCTCCACTCTGCGTGGGAGACAGCTCAGAGTGGTGACACGTTTGCCCAAAGCCACACAGCGGCCAGCAGAGAGTCAAGGTTTGAACTGGATGCATGTTCCACCTCCTGCCTGGTCTTCCACAGACAGGTAGGGGTGCTGAGATCAGCTGCAGGGCCTCCTTCACGTGTGGCAGGCACCCCTGCTAGCTTCTGGAAGCCAGAGTCCCATGGCACCTTGTGAGGCCAGGACTAGGTGCTTCTGTGTGCACACCCAGAGGGGAAGTGGGAAGGTGCCAGTAGTGGGGGCTGGGATCTAACTGGAGCCCCTCATATCCTGTGGCCCTGCCCACTCAGCAAGTCCAGGAATCTGGGGGCCCCAGACCACTGCTGCCTGCCGTCCCCCGGCACCACTCAGAAGTCCACCACTTGTAGCATCCCCTAGGTCCTCAGGCATCCTTCCTCCTTCTTTCTGGGGGTCCTGCCTCTACCACTGAAAAAGGCTGATGTGCATTTTCTTGGGTCTGAGAATTCTAGGATTTCAGGAACAAGGAGACTTAAACTAAGGGAAACTCTGTAATAAACGGTAGTATGGTCTGACTCAGCCACAGGGCTAAGAAATGCCATCTTCCTGCACCGGGTGGGGCACCAGCCCTGCGAGCCAAAGAGGAACTTGCCTCAGGAGCTCTAAAATAGGATGTGGCCGAGAGTAGTGTGCAGAGTCACTTGGTCAAATAAGTCACTTGGCCACCGGAGAAAGGCGGCTGAGAGACCAGAGCCCCGGCCTCATAGACAGTTGAGAGGTGAGCCCGGCAAGCTTGCTGGGGGCGGGGAGGCACAGAGCACCTAGGGGTCCCCGGGGTGCAGAGTCCGGCCCGTGGCCCAGCCTTGCCTCAGCTTTCCTGCAGAGTCTCCTCTGGAGAGGGCCCCTCATGGGGGAGAGATGGGCCTCAGAAAGGAAAAAAAGAATAGCATCAGAGCCTATTTTAGGTTGATAAATGAAACAGTCTTTAGTCTTCAAGTATATAAAAAGATCACTTCTTTTCTATTTCTGGGGGGGCTATTAAAGTTCTCTAGGACTAGAGAACAAGAGGGAAATGGAAAAGCTGTCAGTAAAATTTTCCAGCCGTAAGGAGCAAGAAGCTACCGAAGGGCTTGAGGTCCTTGAAGCTGGGGTTCTGTGGCGGTGGCGGGGGAGGGGGGCATCTCTGAAGCCAGGCAGTTCCTCAGGACAGCTGAGATTTTGCGGTTTTAGGGAACAGAGCTTGGTGGACCCTGGGCCACTTTTACCAAGTTGAGCTTTGCCTTCCAGATTCCATACATAGAAACCAGTGCCAAGGACCCACCTCTCAATGTCGACAAAGCCTTCCACGACCTGGTGAGGGTAATTAGGTAAGCAAGGCACGCCTCCCTAGAAGCGGGGCCTCTGTGGTAGGATGGGCATCTGGGGGGCTGGAGGAACACAGTGCTCTTCCAGGGCCCAGGCTGCATGGTTCTGGGCCTGCTTCAGATTTCTTGTACCTCCATCCATCTCTTTCCCCCGCCCTTCCCACCTGCCTTCACACACACCCCCTCACTCCTAGTACCAGAAGCCTTCCTGCCTGTGGGGCCCACTCAGCCTCCTCTCTGGCCTCTCCCAGGATCTGCAGCTCTGGGTCCCTGAAGGCAGCTCCCTCCTCTTGTCTGGTGTTCTCCCCACACAACCACACCTTTCAGCACCACAGACAGGTCCGGCTCCCCTTTCCCACCCTGACACCAGAGCACCCTGGGACATGCTACCTGAACAACCACAGTTCTGACTCCTAGGCTCAAATTTCTAAGGCGTGGCACCTGGGCCTGCTTTCCGCACTGCACACACGACTGATCTGCAAATATTACCAGAGATCCTAATCAGTAGTCTCGCCTACATTCCTTTGCACGGTCAGAGCCAAACCCTAAGCAGCCCATGACAGCTCTCAGCGTCCCCAGAACACACACACACACACACACACACACACACACACACAAATCCACACATGCATGCATGCCTTTTTGTCACCGTTCCCCACCATGGACTGGGACAGCTCAGCCCTCCCCTTCTGCACGCTTGAGAAGACTTTTGCATGGGCCTCCAGTTTGGACATGCTGCTACACCGGGGGCTGGGGACGTCTCGGTTAGAGGCCTGTGGTTCCAAGGGCAGGTTGTAGACCTAGAAATAGTTACCAGAAAACAGGGAAAGAACTTTTGTCCTCAGCTGACCCATCATTTTATTTAAAACATGAAACACAAAAATAGAGGCCGGTCCTGTATAACATAGAATGCAGTTTATGATTTAAGTAATTGTAGCCACAGCATGATGTCAGGGATTCTCAGCAGTAGGAGGGCAAGGCTTAGCCCTGCCCCTCTCTGCCTTCCACTCTCTTTGGCCCAGAGACGCTCTCCAGGCCAGGCCCTTACCCAGCATCCAGCACAGGCCAGCCTGTTGCACGGGAGGGGAGGGGCAGGGAGAAGCAAAGCCCTTTCTCACTTTGTTTTTCTGCCTTTCGCTGTCTCAAAAGGCAACAGATTCCGGAAAAGAGCCAGAAGAAGAAGAAGAAAACCAAATGGCGGGGAGACCGGGCCACCGGCACCCACAAACTGCAGTGCGTGATCTTGTGACAGGCCTGAGACCCTGGCCGCAGTGACCATGAACTGGCCGGCCCTCGGGACCCTCCACTGCCTAACTGCACTGAAAACCATTTCTAACCATGACCCTTGGCCCGAGGACCTGGCACAGGAAGGGAGAAAGGGAGGGTGGGCAGGAAGGAGACAGTCTCCGGCTTTGCCAAAAGGGCACAGGCTTCCCCGTGTCTCCTAAGAGACCGGGAAGCAATGCTAACAGAAGCAGCACCCAAGCCCCTCATGTTGATTCAACCTGGTTTCTCCCCATCTTTCAGTGGCTGTGTTGTTTCTGTCAAGTACACAGTATTGATCTGACATTGAAGTGTGTACCTCGGACAAAGTACCAGACAAGCCATGATCAGTTCCCCATTGGCTCCAGCCCCCGACCTGAAGTGTCTGGGCTTGGGTGTCTTTTGTAGATTTTTAAATTATTTTAGTGGTTATTATTTTATTACAGGGGTCTGTGCCCACTGACTATTGAGGCTTTAAGTCTTCAGCAGGCCTCGCTGAGAACATGTCTGGAATATCATTGTTGTTGTTTTTAACTGAGTTTTCCCAGCAGTGCCAAAACTCAGCTCAACATGGAGGGAAGTGGAGGGACCGAGAGCCTGGAAGTAACAGGGACTGTGGCCGGAGGCCTCAGGATGAACACCCTACTTATGGCCTTCAAGCTGGAGAGAAGAGAGAGGCATTCACCCAGAAGGTTCTGCTGTGTTTGAAGTGCAGGCGTTAGGAAATGGAATTTCATTTTGCTGAGTGGAGAGGCTGGCACAGGCGTGTCAGTTTTAAGAAGGTTTTTTCTTCTCCTTTTTAAATGTATAAACTAAGGAAGCTGGTTGGCTTTCCAAAGGGGCTTGTTTCCTTTTCAGGCAATGCAGATTCTGTTCTGCGCTCTGAGGGCGCTCCCAGACCTGTCACTTGCCGCTTTCTCACCGCCTGTGCTGCCTGGTGCCTCTTGGATACAGACAGTGAGATGGGCATGTATGTCTGAACACATCACAGTAAGCTAACGTGGGCTTAGCTTAACAGTAAACTCATGTTCATGACGAACCTTAACCAAAAACGATCCAATACTGTTATTACTAAAACAACACCAAGACCTGAAGCCATTTTCCCTTCGAGTCCACTGACTGGCTACCACTTCTTAAAACCCAGTAAATGAGCAAACCCCTGGAAGCATTTGCAGACTTAGGATTAGCTTGCCTTCCTGGCACACACTTTTCTTAACCTCTTGGATCTTAACTCTAATATATAAATAAAGGAGAAAGAAGGAATTGGGGTGATGACATGGCTCCCATAGAGCTGTTTCTGTAAGGGGACACGCCCAGCTTCCTGACAATGCCACTTGCCTCTCAGATGTTTCTGGTGTGATCCAGAGACTGGGTTTTCCCAGCCAGGGTGTGTGCAGGGGTAGCAAGACCAGCAGCGCACCACTGAGAGGAGGTCAGAAGACAAGGTAGCTTGGCTAGCGACCTGACTTTCTGTGTGACACAAATCAGATCCCTAGCAAACCAAAACAGCCCCAGCAGGTGACCTGGCTGCTCTGTGGAGAAAGAAATCCTGAGAAAGTGAGCACCTAACTGGACATCGAGACACCTGGATTCTTATCTGGTTTTGAAAGTGTGCGGAGTTCCTAACTCGGCAACATCACCAGTACCAGGGGCCCAGCTGAAGTGATTCTGCGTAGAATGAAATAATTGGCACTTCTGTTAATTAGAAAATCAAACTCCTTTATTTGTCTAAATGGGCCTTTTTGGTCTGACCCTAAAAGGAAAGATAACAAAGAACATTCCAGATTGAGCACCTCAGAGTGTCCCAAGATCCTGCAATGTTAATGGACTTTTTAACCCTAACAGGACAAGGCTCTTTCCAGCCCTTATGCTCCTCTGAGCCGAGTCCGCAGCAGCCCCATGTGCAGATGAGATGAAGAGGCGGCAGCAAACAGGCGGGAAGAAGTAAGGATGGAGATTCTTGGCGGCGAAGGGGCGGAGGGCAGCGGCCACTGCTGGAAGACTAGCGGGCACAGACCGCCACCAGCACAACCCTGCCCCCTGCCCTCCATGGAGCCTGTGACTCCGCAGCAGCGCCTGATGGGAGAATCACATTGGAAACTGATCAGCTGGCATAGAATGAAGCCCTTAGCCTTTAGCCACGAAGGTCACCAGATAAAGGGTTTCCATCTGCTGCTGGTGCCGGCAGGGCACCTGCCCACTGGCCCCATCTTCCAGAATATCCTTCCTGCAGTCGTCCCACAACTCAGCTCCCTTCTTCGAGGGAGACCCTGGTTAATGAAGGGCTGCCTGCTGCCAAGTCAGGGGTCAGCCTTCATCGTCCATGACCTTGTGTTGCCCATAGGTGACACATAAATAACACTTTTAAAAGACAGGTCTGTGTTTGAGAAAACTGTGGGCCCTTGTGGCAGTGAGGGCTTCCAGACAAGCCAGAATGGAGTGTACCCCGGGGGCGTCCCCAGCACAATCTCAGTGGCCACATGGCAGAGTCTGTTGGAACACCAGGTGGCCGTGCTACTCCGTGACTGAGGAGCCCGATGGGACTCGTCTTTGAGGACATTTTGGTGTTTCCACTAGTTTTCCAGACCACATGAATAGTGCTCCCTTCACATCTCCTGGCACACATCCTTCCTGAAATCCCCTCACCCCATGCCTTTGCCCCTGTGTGCTCGCAGATTTCCTCCTAAAATTTTGACAACCCCAATTAGAGGGCTACTTTTTTCTCCAGCAGGTAATCTTAGCCATCTTCCCGACCCCTGTAGCCTGGGGCTCTAGCTACTGGCTTCTCCTGTACTTTGCTACACAGGGGTCACTTGGATGGTTTCTCTTAGGACTCGGACCCCACCTTGTGTTGCTTGCTGTGGAGAGTGCCTGGGAGCCTAGTGTGGCCTGTCTCACTTTGCCAAGAGACGTGACCCACGAACACATGGCAGCTCTGACCCAAAGGCCCCTCAGACTTGTGACAGTCGGCCTGGAGCCACAGACAGATTCCCTCCGTTAGCAGCCCATTGGGTTAGAAATTCCATGTTGGATTTACTTAGAACAAAAGATACTTGAATTGTTGAGCGCCCGTGAGCGTACAGCTTCTGCCACCCAGTATTACCAGATGGCCATTGTTGTCACCTGAGAGTGATGCCTGAGGGTCTCGATGATGCTTGAGCCTTTTATGTAACTTTTTATCAAGTCTTTGTGTAGCTCAACCCATTAATAAAGAAAAGAAGAGCACTTGTCTTATTTCCTCTTATTCCAATATTCCTGCAGTTTTGCTGAGGACATTATAAGTTGCCCATGTCTGGCCCAGCACACGTTCTTACAGAGCAAACCTAAACTAAGGAGGAGATCGCTGGTGGCCATGAGGAAGTGTCTCGTTCCCACCTGCAGCCAGAGGATGAGGGCAGGTGAGTAGGGCGATTAGACACATAGCCTTTTGATGCCTGGTAGCCTTGGATTCAAGTTCAGTCATGGACCTCTTGTGCCTTTGAGCAAGTTCCCTGCTTCAGTCTCGAGCTGCCCTGCCTGAGAACGGGATGATAGTGTGCACCTCCTGAGTGGACCCAGGACAGAAATGAAGCTGTGGGATGGAGCTCCGAAGTGGTGCTCTTTGTAAAGGACACTGATGGGGGTGTCTGACATTGCTTTTCATGGAAACTACGCCCTGCCCCCATCCACAAGATCACAGTCTTTTGTGCAGTGTGGTTTCATTTCTCTGTTGATGGAACGCATTGGTACTTGACCAAGTTGAGCCTCTCTGGGTCCTTTATCAGGGACCAGAGGCCAAGAGACCAAATCCCTCTTTTGGAAGCCCTGTGGGGGACAACGGCTGCAGCATGTGAACCCAGGAGTTCCTTACACCCTCTGGGCTGGGAGCAGACTAGAGTAGAAGCAGTGGTGTGGCAGCCACTGGGCCCGACTGCCTGCCTAGCCATTCATTCCGCATATATTTATTGGGCGTGAGGCTGGGTCCTAGGTACATGGTAGTGAGTAGGGCAGAGGCTCTTCCGGTAACCAGATCTCCTTTACTCCTGTATTGGTTTTCTGCGGCTGCTGTAACAAATTACCACAAACTTAGTGGTTTCAAAGAGAAATCTATTCTCTCACAGTTCTAGAGGCCAAAAGTCCAAACTCAGAATCAGTGGGTTGAAGTCCAGGTGAGGCAGGGTTGCACTCCCTCAGGGGCTCTGGGGGAGACCCCACACCTTGCTTCTTCTTGCTTCTGGAGCTGCTGGCATTGCATGGCTTGTGCCCATTTCAATCCAGTCTTCAAGGCCAGCATTTTCGAATCTCTCTCTTTTCTATCCTCATATGGCCTTCTCCTCTCTGTGTCAAAGCTCCCTCCCTCTGAGCTGATGCTCCTTCCTTCACTGAGAAAGTTGAAGGCAGCTAAGCAGAATTTCCTCAGCCCCCTTCCACCACCTCCACCCCCTCCCACCCCCCCCAGCATCTGCACCCACACACTTTGCCTTCTTGGCCACTTTAGGTGAACCATCTGTGCTCCTGGTGGAAGCCAGTCCCTTCTGTAGAACACATCCAAGACCTTCCTCTGGCTCTTTACCTCTCTCTCTTGTGCATCCTGAGTTCTTCTCTCTCTCTCTCAGATATTCCCCATCTTGAAAAAAAAAAAAAACACACACAGAAGAGCAAAACCTTCCTTTGATACACAGCCTCTGTCAGATACCACTGGCTTCTCTGTTGTCTTTTGCAGGAAGCCATCTTAAAAGGGTAATTTAGACTCAGTCCATGAAGTGCTCTCATTCCTTTCTCTTTAAACTGCTCCACCCTGACTTTCACCCACTGTTCTTCCACCACCACCCCTCTTCTCAAGGTCATCCGTGGCTTCCATCTTGCTAAGTTCAGTGGCTGGTTCTCAGTGTGCTCCCATTTGATCTCATAGCATTGGCACAGTTGATCACTACCTCTTCCTTGTTCAGCTTTCTTCCATTGGCTTCTAGGATGTTGCCCTCTCTTCATTTTTCTCTTTCCTCATGGTCACTCCCCTGTCTCTTTTGCTAGTTCTTCCTTTTCCACTGGAGCACCCCAGAGCTCAGTCCTTGATCCTGTACCTAACATCTCTCTTGATGATTTCATCCAGTCTTGACACTTAAATGCCTTCTATGTGCCAGTGACCCCTAAAGGTATATCTCTTCCCAGACCCCACTGACACCCGACTGCTTACTTGACATCTCTACTTAGATGTCTCAAGTAGACTGTGTCAAAGTATCTCCAGTATTGAGTTCCTGGCCTCCCATGCCTGCTTCACCCAGCTAAGTTGATAGCACCTCCGTGCTTCCAGTTACTCAGCCAAGAGCCTTGGAATCATCCCTAATTCTTCCTCTCTTTTTCTCACACCTCACCGCCAATCCAGCAGCAAGTAAGTCCTGCTGACCCTGCCCGCAAAATGTGCTGCTCATTTCTCATCACCCCCACTGCTAATATTCTGGCCCACGCCACCAGGATTCCTGCCTGCTTCACCCGTGTCCTCCTGCACCTCATTCCCAGCACCACATCCAGAGGAATTTGGGTAAAGTGGAGGAAGTCAGAGTATGTCTCCACTCTCTTCAACCCTCCTCACCCCAGATGCTCCTCCATCTCATTGTCACTGCGTGTCACAGTGAGCTATGCCACTGAACACCTAGAAGTGAACTGATGTTCGTTACCCACAAGAGAAGGGAAATCAAATTGGTTCATTCATTCAGGCAACAAATATTCATTGAGCTCTGCACCAAACATCAGGGCATCAGAGGATGTTAAAACCCAATCACTAGAAACAACAAGTGTTGGTGAGGATGTGGAGAAGCAGGAACACGTGTGTACCACTGGTGGGAGTGCAAACTGGTGCAGCCACCGTGGAAAACGGTATGGAGGGTCCTCAAAAAAGTAGCAATAGAAGTATGATCCAGTGATTCCACTATTGGGTATTTATCCAAAGAAAATGAAAACACTAATTCAATAAGATATAGGCACTCCTATTTTACTGCAGCTTTCTTTACAATAGCCAAGATACAGAAGCAACCCAAGTGTCCCTCAATAGATGAATAGAAAAAGAAAATATGAGATTATACACACACACACATATACACGTATATATAGACACACACAATGGAATATTATGCACCTAAAAAGTATATGAGATTATGCCATTTGAAGCAACATAAATGGACCTAGAGAGTACTATGCTAAGTGAACTAAGAAAAAGCCAAATACCTTGTTATGTCACAAGTGGAATGCAAAAAACAGCAAATGAATAAACAAAAAGCAGAATCAGACCTATAAATGCAGAGAACAAACTTTTGTTGGCAGAGGGGTTGAGCAAAATTAGCACAAGGGTGAGGGAGATGTAGGCTTCCAGTTATGGAATGAATAAGCCCTGGGAATAAAGACACAGCATAAGGAATACAGTCAGTGATACTGGAATAGTGTTGGAGGGTGACAGATGTTGGCTACACTGGTGGTGAGCACAGCATAATGTTTGAACTTGTCAAACCACTAATTTGTACATCTGAAATAATACAACACTGTGTGTCTACTTACATTTTAGAAAGTATTTTGTTTGAGGTCATCAAAAAAGTTTGAGTAATGCATAGAATTGTGGAACCACTGTGTCAGACACTTGAAACTGACATAACATTGTTCACCAACTATACATCAATTAAAAAAAAGTCTCCAGTCATAGGGGTTCACAGCCTAGTGGAGGTGATAAACTATTATGATCTGTGCATTCAGAGGAATCCCTCAACCTGTGGGGGCTGGAAGGGGCTCTCGTAGACTTCATACCTAGTTGATATCGAGGTTGTTCACTGACTGGATGAGAATTTCAGGTACATACTGGACCCACTCGTTCCACTGCATGTGAAGATTAAAGCTTTCATTGCCCAGGTTCCCAGGACTATTTAAAATAAACTCCACCTCCATCTCCACACACTTGTGGAGAAAGTTCCAAGGTGTCATGGATGTGAGCATTGGCATCACGTAGAAGCCTGGGTCCTGGCCCGACCTACTCAGAACCCACATATAGCAAGATCCCCAGGTGACTGATGTATGCATCACAGTGAAGTTCGAGTAGCACCTCCCTAGAACATCAACCCAGCATCAGAATGAGATCTAGCCCTGGACTCACTGTGCCTTGGGACCCTGTTCAACCATGTCCAACCAGCAGAAGCCTCGTCAGCATTCAACTTGGCAGTTAAGGGTTTGCTCCTCTCCTGTACCGGCTGCAACATTCTGTCTGGCAAGGCAGTGTGCTCAGAAATGTCCCCCCAGTCAGCGTGTGGCGCCCTTCATTATGGGGAGTTTTTACACAAAGGCCAGTGGGACCCCAATTCTCTTCTCACACACTCTAGTATTTTTCTTCCAATGTGGATAGCTGTGTTCAAGGTAAAGAACAAGAGAACTCATGATCCAACCTAAGAAAACTGAAAGGCTCTGGGTTCTTCAGGCACTCTGAAGGCAGGGTATTCTATGCAAGCTGGAGGTACACTTGTTCCCCAGGACTTCTGCTTCGCAAAGAGGCCAAATAGCTCATTACCATGCTAATGTGAAAGTGTAAACATAAAAAGGAAAGCCGAGTTCATACTGTGCCTAGCACTGATGGATGCTTTCAGTAGAATGTACATCCCGGCTATGATGTGATAAACCATTAACTCTGACTCAAACCCAGCTGCCTAGTCATTCCTGGGACCCGTGCCTGTGCTGATGAACAGAAGTTAAATAATTGTGTAAGTGGTTCTCGGAGTTTGGTCCCCAGACCAGCCGCTTCAGCATCATGTAGGAACTGATTAGAAATGCAGATGATCTTGGGGCACCTGGATGGCTTAGTCAGTTGAGTGTCCACCTCTTGATTTCGACTCGGGTCATGATCCCAGAGTCATTGAATCGAGCCTGGCATCAGGCTCCACAGTGAACGTGGAGCCTGCTTAGGATTCTCTCTCTCTCTCTCTCTCTCTCTCTCTCTCTCCCCATCTGCCCCCTCCCCTACTTGTGCTGTCTCTTTATCTAAAAAATAAAATAAAAATAAAATTTGATAACTTAAAAAATGCAGATTATCTGGCCCCATCTCAGACCTACTGAGTCAGTTCTGAGATGAGGCCTGGCAATGTGTGTTTTAACAGGCCCTCCGGGAGATCATAATGCTCCCTCGAGTTTGAAAAGCACTGTATTAATATATGTAAGTAAAGATAAAAACTCCCGCCAAAGGCAGGTAAGTGGCAACTTATCGATTCTCATCTGCAAGAGAGCAGTGGGCAATCT